CACAGGTGTGTGCACGTGCTCCAGCAGCCTGAAATGACCTTTAGTGTGCCACAGAAACAGCCTTCCTGTGCTCTGAGTCACTGACTGAGACAGAATGGCTCTGCCTGCTCAATCTTGTAGGCTGAGAGGAAGCTGAAGCAATCCAAGCCCCAGAATGCTTTGCTGATACACAGCTCTCCGTATTCCTCCAGTCAGGGTGACTGTAAAGGCGCACTAAGCATGCACAATGTCTCCCACACATCTGAGTGCACAGCTGGAATGAGTCCGGAGGCGCCCACCGCCCAAATGATTCTAAGACTCATACAGAAACACAGCTGTCAGTGGGCTCTGGGCTCTGGGGTCTGGGCTCTGGCGTCTGGGGTCTGGCTCTGGGCCTGGGGTCTTGGCTCTGGGGTCTGGCTCTTGGCCTGGGGTCTGGGGTCTGAGCCTGGGCTCTGGGCCTGGGGTCTGGGGTCTGGGCCTGGGCTCTGGGGTCTGGGCTCTGGGGTCTGGGGTATGGGTCTGGGCTCTGGGGTCTGGGCTCTAGGGTCTGCGGTATGGGTCTGGGCTCTGGGGTCTGGTGTCTTGGCTCTCGGGTTTGGGCTCTTGGCTCTGGGCTCTGGGGTCTAGGCTCTGGGGTCTGGGCTCTGGGGTCTGGGCTCTAGGCTCTGGTTCTTGACCTGGCCTCTGGGGTCTGGGCTCTGGGGTCTGGGCCTGGGCTCTTGGGTCTGGGTCTGAGCTCTGGCCTCTGTGGTCTGGGCTCTGGGGTCTAGGCCTGGGCTCTTGGGTCTGGGTCTGGGCTCTGGCCTCTGTGGTCTGGGCTCTGGGGTCTTGGCCTGGGCTCTGGGCTCTGGGCTCTGGGGTCTGGGGTCTTGGCTCTGCGGTCTGGGGTCTGGGTTCTGGTTCTGGGCCTGTGTCTGGGGGACGGGGCCTGGTGGGGGCTGGTGTGCTGTCGCTAATGGTTCCTGGGGGGCCTCTGCCCTACGGTAGTTGGTGGGGGTCTCTTCTGGGGGGCTTCACTGGTGGCCTTCTGGGCTGATGGCCAGTTATCTCTGTGGTGGTCTTCCTGGGATCTGGTCTGGGGGGAGCTGCTTGTGGACTGGGTCCAGGGGGGACTGAAGGGGGGGCTGCTGGTGGACTGGGTCCAGGGGAGATTGAAGGGGGGCTGTTGGTGGACTGGGTCCAGGGGGG